AGGTGTGAGATAACTTCAAAAAGACAGGCCAAAGATGGAATGTGAAGGCCGTTGATGCAGGCGGGAAACACATACGCATGCGCAATCCCAACGACTGGTACATCCTAGAACATTCCTCCAGCACATCAATTAACCCCTCCCAAATCCACGCCCCCCCCTCCCGTTTCATGGCAGCTGAAGCAACAGCAAAGCAGAAGCTGACAGCATCTTCCAAATCAAGTTCAGCCCCTGGTGTCTTCACAGACAGATCCATGCAGCTTGTTGGGATTGTTTTCTGAGAGGGTTTCTTTATTTGCCAGTCTAGCCTAGAGCTCTGGTATTCTGGATAATTTTTCATCCCAATATTGTTCAGACTCAGTTTGAGAAACTATTTGTGTTCAGTAAGTCATATATAGTTTTTCACTGTACTGACAACATCTGCTCTAGTCTTTTTACACACACACACACACACACACACAGACACACACACACACACACACACAAACGTAAATGAAATAAAATGTTCTTCAAGCTGAATTTAATTGGTTATGCCCATGCAGTTTTCTTGGCGACAGTATGGAAAACTTCCTTCTGGGACTATTTTTATTTCCTACTTTTGTTTAAAGTTTTGGAGAGTTCCTGAACATCTACCAATCAAATACCAACTTTCTGAGACAAGACAATATTGCCTAAAAGCTGCCATTTTTTCTTGAAAATGTTTCTTTAGAAATGGCAGTTGCAAGGACAGACAAATGAACACATGAGTTCCCATTTGCTTTCTTAGTTTCTGCCCTATATGGTCTGTTAATCCAGTTCTTCATAAAGTCCATTCAAACTTATAAAATAAATTCATACAAAGTTCATTCATAACACAGATAGATAAGTAAGATAGTAAGCTGACACAAAACCACCATTTTCCTTTAACAAAGGGAAAGCAAAAATAAGAAGCAATACTCATTCCTGCTTGCTTACTGGTTTGCTTTGTGAAACTCAGCCAATTGAAAAATCTTGGCAAAAATTGTTTCTTTTAACATATGTCAAATTTATGTTTTCAGCTCAGGTATCAGTCCTTATTAAAGTCCTATCTGTTTGGCAATATATGATTTACAACATTCCTTCTTTTGGAATACAGACCATGCAAGATATTTTTGAAACAATTTGGTTTGGAGCAAGAGGATGATGATTTTCCAAAGGTTTAGTTAGTTTTCCAGTGGAGAAATGCCACTTGCCTCAGAAGCCCAGAGACCAAGGCTGTCTCATATTCAATATCACCTGAAGAATTCCATTATGCTGTACCCATGTTAACAAAACCCATTAGATCAGGTTTCATACATTTCTTATAATTCTAAATAAGAGGGAGTTATCCTTCTGTTTCCTATGAATAATAAAAGGGATATATAAATTACTGATGCAGCATTAATTGGGAATGGATTTTCTCTGATGTGTATTTCTAGAACAACCTTAAAAAACACCTTGTTTTATGTTTTTCATAAAAAGGGCTGACATTCTCCCAAATGTGAACTATTTAAATTTTCTACTGAAATATTCATGATACAATATGGAGATGTGTAAAATAAATGATTCAATCCTAGGTTTGCTTTTACTAGGTAAACATTTTGGAATAAGATGTTATTCTGTTATTTAAACAGAATATATTTTTGCAAAATTGCACTGTCTTCCAATAACAAGATGGAATTACTTAACATCTTACCATTCTGGCAGGCTTGAATCCTTATCTCATATTGGGTGCATGGATCAAGTCCATCCAGAACAGTGAAATTGGACTGCCCAACTGGTTTTACAAGTGAGGAGGTACTGCCAGCATCTAGTAATATATTGTACTCCAAAGGTACATTGCTCTTAAATAACCCTGTGATAAAATAAATAAAATAAGTTCATAGAATGTTATTGAAATTGGAAATGGTTGGAAGAAAACTTCCTATATTTTAAAATAAAAGCAGTGATTTTGAAACTACTATAACATTGATGTTCTGATGAGTAAATGGAATGAAATGGGCAGATTTACTAAACTCAGTGGGGAAACCACATGACTTGGTTAGTTCCAGAGTTCATACATTTATGTCAGAATGAAAGGAACAGTATAAGCAAAAGTGAACTAATTTACCCTAAGTACAAATGGCAGTTTTGTTATTTGGTGTCAAAGTTACCGTGAGCGCAATGACAACCTGCCATAATGCATTTTCATGTTCACTAAAGAACAAGGATTTAGTCGGTTAATATTCCCAGCAATACTCTTTTTCATAATTTACAACAACTAGATGCTGATAGGTTATTTAACATTTATGAAGTTAAGATGTAATCAGAAAACCGTGATTATCTTTATGAATTAAAAAAGTTAAATTATTCTGCTTTTTTCCTTTTATGACTTCATTGCATGGCAAGTACAACTTTTGTAACAGGACAAGTCAAACAAACAGCATCTCGATGGTGTCCCCTGCCGTTCTTCTTTGTATTTGCACAGTGAAAAATGGACAAGTCAATGGAAGGGGATCTTGAATTGTTCAATACTGCATTCGTTTTGAAACAAATACGTCCTGGAAGAAAAAATGTTTAACAAAAATAGTTGCTTTTAAAGGATATGTTCAAGATTCTTGATTAGAGACATTAGTAAAATCAATGGGTAACAGAAGCTATTAATTTTGAAAGGTACTTTCTCAACTAAACCTGAAATGATGGTGTTTCAGATTCTATCTTTAATTCTTTTAGAGTTTCACTAAGGGTTTTCATGCTTTGGAGTAATATAAAAGAAAATGTTTGTTTCCATTAAGATTTATTATTGTATACCTATCTTGTCATAAAACCAGAATATATTACACTGCCTTATTAATTTCTTAAAGTAACTTGATTAATACTAAATATTCAAATAAAAATGTTATTTTCTCAAACAAAACAAAACCACCATAATCAAATGAGAATTCTAGATACATTTTACATTAGCATGCACTGTGTAATTCTACTGTGTTCTGACTGCTACTAAAATTCTGTATACTCAATCTGGCAACTTCTTTGTACAAATATAGATCAACTACATAGTAGTAGATCAGGAAATATGGATAGAGAAAGAAGGCAAAATGATTGAAAAATGATTATTATTTATTTTTAAAAAACCCAGCTGTTAACCAAGGTTAACTATTACTTGCCCACTTGCCCAGTTTCTAATTTTGATTTTCAAGCAACAGTGTTATATGCTGCAAGTACTGAAATTAGTGAAGCAGAGGAGATAGCTGAACTATTATAGAGAAGTTCAAATGGCAAAGAGCTGGCAGTTCAGTTAATCTGTAACATTAAAGGATGACCTCTTAAGTCTGTTGGGTGAAATGTTGAGAAGATACTGGAAGGCCATTTCTCTGCTTCATTATAACCAAGGAAAAATCTCTTATAACAAGAAAAAGATGCAGTTTTATAAACCCCCGAAACTTATTTTAGCACTTAAAGTTTGGAGGATAAGTTCCAACAGAGTCTGAGGTTGGAAAAGTAAGGATAGCTGGTAAAGATAGAAATCAGAATGTATTATGGGTGGAAGCCTCAGGACAATTTTCTCATGGAATACTCTTAGGTATGAGAATCTATCTGTAATACTCCTAGATATGGGGAAGCTACCTGTTATGCATATAGTTTTCTAGCTGGCCAGATTGATATAATGACCATGAAGGAAACCAATATTGTAGTTAAATTTTCATATGGGATTAGCTTTTGAATTAGAAGCCAGGCCTTACAAGAAATATATATGGTGATAGTATGGAAAAATACCATAGTGTTAGCAATCTTGCCAATCACACAGAAACAGCTATAAATGCATTTTAAAACAAGTCAATGTCATTAATAGTACTATCATCATCAAGTCTACATCAGTGGTGGGATACAAATGGTATAACCCGATACGGGCATACCGGTGCTTGCTGGGAGCACCAGGTACCATTCAGGTACTCCGGAGGGCCCACCCGCCTGCCCATTCTCCTTACCGCTATTTGAGCTGATTGGGGCTTTCATGCACATGCACAGAGCATATGGCATCTGCACGATGCTCCGCCGAGCAGCTGGAGCGTGACCAGTGGTAAGTACGCATGTGCGTGCTGCGCACATGCTGAGTACATTCACATGGTGGATGCCAGGCCCCATTGCAGCATACCAGTTGCAACGGCATCTGGAACCCACCACTGTTCTACATGCTTGTGACCTGTCCTGTGACAATAATAAACTTTTGAGATTGACTGGACTGAAAGATCACTGAGATCACTTTTGTGTCTGAAGGTAAAGTAGAACTGTGGTCTCCCCATCACAAACACCCTAAGTGAAATAGGATCAAGCATCTTTCCATTCCTTAACTAATGAAACTACTACTTTCAGATCTTTCCAATTTGGTAAGAGAGATATTTTGAATTATTACATTCATAAAGCTTCGGAAATTAGAGATACCACCATGGTTTAAACATCCTAAGTAAAACAAAAGGAGACTCAATGGATGTGTACTGATGGGTCCTTATGTAATCTAAATTTATTAAGAAGACAAGGAGATCAAATGCCAAAATGTTGCTTCCTTTCATAGAAGAAGGATACTGTGACCAACTAGCCTCTCATTAACATTTGATGAATAAAATGTAATTTTATTCTAGGAGACAATATCAATTAAAATAACTATCTCACTGGGAGAATCACTGCCAATCCTTATTTTAAAACTTGATTTCAAAAGAGAGAAATACCGTATATCATTTCTATATAAAGTATTAAAAGCATAAGAGAGGAATTATCCATAAAAAAAGTAAACTCTAAAGAAAATAAGATTCAACCTGACATGAATACTTCCTGCAGGGTGTGTAATGTCATGTTATAATAGTTATTATGTAGGGAGGAACGCTGTACTACTTTCAATTGCTCCTATCACCACCTGTTTTTTCACAGTACTGCAGTTTCTCAGGTCCCAATTTTATGGGTTGCCTTTCCTTTACAATTTAGCTTTTCATGGGTAGTCTTAGATATAGCAAAGCCTCATATCTAATTGTCAGAATTCTTGTAAAAAGACTTTCTTGTGCCATCTTTTTTGACAAGTTCTCAGTTATTGATCTTTTGGTCAACACCACTGCACAAATCCTCAACGTATCAGCATTCTGTATCTAAGAAATCTCTATAACTAGCCTCTTGTTATTGGACCTTTGTAAAAACTTTCCTGCTTTATCAAACATTATGTTTCTACTTAATTTTTCAAATAATAAGCCTAATTTTATTTTATTTATTAGACTTATATACTGCTTCATAGGGCTTTCAGCCCTCTCTAAGCGGTTTACAATTTTTTTTAGCAAATTGAGTCAGCAACTTGCCCCCACAGTCCGGGTCCTCATTTCACCCACCTCGGAAGGATGGAAGGCTGAGTCGACCTTGAGCTGGTGAGATTTGAACCGCTGAGCTGCAGATCACAGTCAGCTAAAGTGGCCTGCAGTACTAATGAATCCACTTTATGATCAGCAACAAGAAGCAAGCGTAATCATTCCTTAAGGTGCATTATTGTTTGGAATTACTGTTTAAGAAGATAGATTTTGTTGTATTCTTCCTTTTTTTCTGTGTTCTAATCTGGACTATAGTTCTCAACCATCTCTATCAGGTTACTCAGTAAATTATCAATATAGCAAAAAGCAGGTATATCAAAAAGCAGGTACCTAAAATACATGCAGATACATCCATGCACACAAATCATTTTGCAAAACAACAAGAAGAAACCTTTGCATTTTAATTAATGATTCACAGGTTTGTAGATGGATGACAAGTGCCCTCACCTATCACATCTGGTAGAAAATACAATATTTATCACACATTTCATCAGACAAAGAAAAGTAGCTACGCTAGAAAGGGATAAATTGACACCAAAATTGAAATTATAAACAGGTTCCTATGAGTAAATTTTTGAGTAAGTTCTTTTAACCTAAAAGAGTAATTATGAGTAATTTCTTTTTTTACAACACCTTTCAGTGTTCCAGGGAATCCATGCAAGCTTTATAAATACACATGGCTATCAGCTGTTTCACATATCAGTTGTAGGGTTGAATTCTTGGTGTGTGAATGGACTTACTCAGCACATTAATTTCTAAGCAAGAGCTTCTTATCAGTCTTTCTCTTAACTTCGCTTAGAAAAATGCTGGTAATAGAACTGTCTTTTTAAAGTGATGGGCAAGTTTCTGTTTCAAATGTTATTAACATGTCTAAGTGTAGAAAAATCTTGGATCAAACCAAGATCCTATAGTACCCCCATCTGTGTCCTTGTCAGGCACCCCAGGAAGTGCATAAAAGAAAACAAAAGATGACAGCTGACTGTAATTATCTGTTCCCATATCCTTAGCAGCAGATATTTTACATTCACTTCCTGCATGGCAATGTGCACTAAACTGTGAGAATCTACTGTAATTTCTTATCTTTAAGTTTTAAAACATATCAATTCAAACAGATAAAGGGGAAAGGAAAGAACAGAGGGAGGTTTTTATTCTGATCCGAAAGAATTCAGCTTTCCCTTTTGACTAGGGTTTCCATTTAAAAACTGTGTTAATTCAGATGTCTGGCAAATGGTACCAGAGTATTCTATATGATTGAGATCATCCAGATGTTTGCAGGACATGTCTGGTCATCTATTTTTTAATTAAAAATTCTTAGTGCAAACAACCTGATCACACAAGAAAATTCCACACTGAATCACTTTAGTTAGGTCCAGATCTGCACAGGGATTTGACTGTTAGAGTGAATATTCAAAGCTTTCAGAGAAACTGATTATCAAAACTGAGACAGTATAGGACACTTTCCAATGAAATCAGCTGTAGATTATAAGTCAAATTCATCCACTTTCTCCAGGGCTTTTAAATCCTTTTAGGCAATACGGGTGGAGGGGAGTGAGTTTAATTTAAGATTTTAATCTTTTTCATATATTATAGCATTTCTATAATGGATTTTGTGCTTCTGAAAACTAAAAGATTGACAGTTCAGGATATGATAGATCTATTAAGAATTGATTCAGTGGACATACAATATTTACTATTCCAAGCATGCATGTAAATGTTTACCTGGTAACTTTATATTTAATGCCTTTATATTATCTTTTCATCCGGTGACCTTTTTGCAAGATGTAAATATTGTAAATAATTTGGGATTAATACTGAATATTAAAATGGTTATTATGTTTTAGCTATATGTAACAATATTTTTATATCAGAAGTGAATAGACTTTAAAAAAAATCCTACATTATAAACAAGATAATTTATTATACATCAACATTACTTTTTAAAACACATAACAACATTATTTATATATATATATATATATATATATATA